GTGAAAAATACTACACTGGACCAATGAGTAAGAACGCGTTCAGGAGAGTCAGAAGCCGGGTATTGCAGTACAAGGTGTGGCAGCCTGCACCGGGATGGTGCCGCTGGCAGTAGAGGGATGGACAGATCTGAATGGAGTTCCAGGGGGTAAAACCGGCCGGCCTTGGGGGATGGCACTTGCACAGCTGAGTGGATGGTGGTCCCGGCCCCTGAGACAGATGGCACTGGAGGAGGCCCATGTATTCTGCGGGAAGAGACTTTTGCAGCAGATTCTGAGGTTAGATTCAGGTCTGTGGATTCTGAGGGGTGTTTCAGATGTCTGGGGTTGGGGGAAAGGTCAGGAGGGCAGCTATGGGTGGGTCTAGAACCAGAACAAAGGTCTGGGTTACAGGCGATTCTGACAAGAGTTCGGACATGGATGATGATCCCTAGGGAAAGGTAGAATGAGAGAGACAGGGAAATAACAAAGAGAAATAAAGGACCGGATTGCCAGTGTACACTTCAGAACAGGCTGGGTCACAGGAACCCGACTGCCAGTGTACACTTCAGAACACGCCGGGTCACAGGAACCAGATTGCCAGTGTACACTTCAGAACAGGCTGGGTCACAGGAACCCGGATTGCCAGTGTACACTTCAGAACAGGCTGGGTCACAGGAACCAGATTGCCAGTGTACACTTCAGAACAGGCTCCTGGGTCACAGGGACTTTGGCCTGACGCCCACGAGACTAGCAGAAATTATTCCAGCACTAAGACAGTTCAGCCATAACAGGAACTGCTCAACAAATACGAGGATTTCAAATGTTTGTGGAGGTCAACAGCAGAGGTGAGCAGACGATACAGGAGCGTAAGACAAGACGCTCAACAGCACTCATCCAAAGCAAATTCAAACCTCACCGAGCTACAGCCGCATGCCTGTTAAAATGCTCCAACCCCAGTGCACTGACACTAGCAACTGCTGGGGACTATGTAGAACTTGGGCAGGACATGAACACGGAGGCTACAGCCCTGTGTCAGCGCACAAGCAGTGCCACACCATCAGCCAGGAACCTGTCGCCCACATCCTGGTCCCAACACCGTTCTGCAGCATGAGGAGCCAGGGCTCCCGGAGGAAACGGCGAAGTCTAGGAGTGGGGCAGGAAACCCAGAGGAGCACATCATAGTGCAGAAAGCACGACTGTCAGGACAAAGCAGAGCCCCGCCACAATGAAGGGACCACAGCAAAGGCACACGGGGCACCTGAGGCGGCTCCTGGTGTCCACGGCTGCACTAATCCGAACACACAAATAGAGTAGCCTTGGATAATAACCCAAAGGAAAAACAGAGCAGGCCATATCAATATAAATGATTGGATAACATAAATAAAGGACAATCAACAAACCAGGGAATTCCCAGTGACTTATGTAAATACCCGGCCTACTAAGTCGACCAGAAGTGTACGTCCCTTCAGTGTGGGCTGTACTGGCTCACCTTAACCCAGTGCATGTGACATGGAAGAGGGGAACAGTAACTTCACATGGAGCACCCGACAGACGTGTCCTCCAACCAGCTGAGTAAGTCAACCATAACCAAGAACAGCCATGGTGCCGCTCTGTGCCCTGACAGGGAGTGACCACAGGGCACCTGACCTCTGTGGTCTAAAGGCCATAACCACAGTCTAATCATGGAGCTTGTTTTCATCAGACCAGGGCATTCTAGAAAATACCTGACCAATACTCCTCCAAGTTGCTTCAGGCATCAAAACAAGGAAAGATCTGAGTGACACTCAGAACCAAGAGAAGCCTAAGGAGACAGGACAGCTAAATGTCGCATGATGTCCTTGATGGAGTCCGGGACGGAGAGAGGACAATGAGTAAAAGCCTAGGGAAGTGAGTAGAATGCAGACTGTGATTAATAAGAATGCATCACTACCACTTCATTAGTTGTGACAAATGAATCGTCCCAACATCGCATTAACAACTGGGACAGCTGAGCATGAGCTGGATGGGAACTCCCTACTATCTTTGTATAAATCTAAATCTGTTTCCTGATTTTAAAAAAAAGGCAAACCAGAAATTGAAAAAAAATACATTACATATTTATAATGCGTATGGAAGTGTGTACACATACCATAAACAAGTGTACAGACACAGAAACAGACGTGACAATAAGTTATCTATGCGAATCAGCCATGGGAATCTGAGACTTCCAGGACATCGCGGTTTTACTTCTAGTGAGGCTACCAACTGTATAGCGGTGCTTGTGGTATGCGTTCCACGGAGAATCAGAACAATCAGCCCGGCTCTGCCGAGGGAGGACCACGCAGCCATTACTCAATTCCACTCTGCTTTTCCCTAATAGGATTGCTGTTGTGGGTGTATCAATATCAACGTGTGCCTAAGAACTACGGAGCTCGGAGAATAACAGAACGGCTTAGAGCAGCAGAAAAAAACAGCAACTCCAAAACAAAACAACAATGTGGATTCTGATCAAACCATGGGCCTCAGACCACCGCCCCAGAACTGCCAGTGATGTGCGTGTTAAAAATTCAAACTGGGCTCCTCCTAAGTCCACTGACCCAGAATCCCAGGAGGGCAGCCCAAGGAGCCTGAACCGCAGTGTGCCAGGCGGCTCTTCCGATTCTCACGATAACCTGAGCATCACGGGTTTGGGTCTCACGAAAATCTTGCCAACGTGCACCTGGGAAGCTAGAAGAACAGCCCTTCAGCAAGGTGCAGCCAACCCACCCCCTGGCTTCACGCAGAGCTCAGCACTGAGCTTCAGGCTGGCTTCTAGACCACCGGCACCAACACCATGGGAACTCAGAAGGCCTCGCCCGGGACTGACTACACCACGACCCCAGGGATGGTGGCAGGGAGGGACAGAAGCGTGTGCTTAACGGGCTCTGCGGGTGACTTCCACGTCTGACGAAGCTTGAAAGCCACTGCCCTGGTCATCCTCCACCCCCGCCTACTACTGAGCTACACTGCCTTACGTTCCTGATCACTCCCTGCAGACAGCATCGGGGTACAGGGAGGAGCGCTGGTGAGGACAGCAAGTGAGGCCAGAAGGGACCAAAGGCTCACGGTCCTAGCTGGACATTCGGACATTCTGACCCCAGCACTGCGGGGACCGACGGGGAGCTGTGCTTCAACCTTGAGTTGCCTGCTTGTACCTTAGTACAAAGGAAGTGCACTTGGGGTCTCAACACTCCAGTCTTCTCCAAGAGATATCACCCCCGAGACTCAAGTCTACCGCAGATCTTCAGACGCTGAGCCAACAGCCCCTCTGCACCCCGCCCGTGTGTCAGGGGGGACGGAAACAGACAAGGAAATGATTTCATTAGGCCCCAAACCCCTGCAGCTGATTCCTTGCCAGTGGGGAGGAGAACCCCTTGAACCACACATGTGATGTCCTCTGCGTCCTTGGCCCACAAGGAACACAAGACAGAGAAGGAAACACTGACCAGTGTGGGGCCACCTGCCAGCCACAGCCCCAGTCTGACCTTTTCCCCTTCGGACCTTGAGGAGAAATCAGCGTAATTTTTTAAATATTACATCTTAAAATGAAACATCTCAAAATGATTACACACAGAAAAACATTTAAAAAAAACTATGGCCCATAATCATTAATAATTATCACCCAGTTATTCAGAGAATGCCTGTTCATGCTTCCAATCATAAAGCAGCAACAAATGCTCACAGTAAGGGTATTAAAGCATAAGGGACAAAAGTAAAGTATAGAGAAGTGTGGAATTAACACACCTCCCAGTCTCCTCTCATTTCTATATAAAGTTATCCGGTGTGACAGGCTCCAATATATTGTTTCAGAAAAAAATGTATATCCTTTAAAAAATCTACTTATTTTATTTATTTATTTTCATTTTAGTTGAAAAGCAGAGAGACAGAGAGAGATCTCTCAGCTGCTGATTCACTCCCCCAGTACCCACAACATCCAGGCTGGACCAGGCCAAACACAGGAGCCAGGACTCACAGGGTCTCCGACGTGGGGGGCAGGGACAGAAGGACTGGAGCCAGCACTGCCGCCTCCCGGGGTGCACATCAGAAAAAGACTGATGCCAAAGCATCTCCAGCACCATGCTGAACAATGAATTATTGGACATAATCTTCTTATTCATGGAAACAAGCCAACAATGGCCACTATTTAAAAAGCATTTCTTGCCGGTGCCGCAGCTCACTAGGCTAATCCTCCGCCTTGCAGCGCCAGCACACCGGGTTCTAGTCCCGGTCAGGGTGCTGGCTTCTGTCCCGGTAGCCCCTCTTCCAGGCCAGCTCTCTGCTGTGGCCAGGGAGGGCAGTGGAGGATGGCCCAAGTACTTGGGCCCTGCACCCCATGGGAGACCAGGAGAAGCACCTGGCTCCTGCCATCGGATCAGCGCGATGTGCCGGCCGCAGCGCGCTGGCCGCGGCGGCCATTGGAGGGTGAACCAACGGCAAAGGAAGACCTTTCTCTCTGCCTCTCTCTCTCACTGTCTACTCTGCCTGTCAAAAAAATAAAAATAAATAAATAAATAAAGCATTTCTTTAATTAGGACAAGGATCAAGCAACGTAATATTGATGAGAAAAACTATTATTTACATAGTACTTACTAGTTTTGTCTAGAAAACCCAATAGAATTTTTTAAAAAATCAACTGAAAAGAATTAGGAAAGAACGAATGCTACAAAACAGAGGTTGGACACATGTTTGCTGCAAACTTTTCAAAACATCGGAGAGTTTCCATAGTAAAATGTGTGGGAAAAGATTAGAACCAATAATATGACAATCTTCAACAACATGGAGAGTTCAAAAGAAAAATGTAACATGAGTACCTGCTCTAAAATCTCTGCAAAAGTACGTATTGCACAAATGATACTGTGATAGAAGTAATATCAAATATCTCAGAATAGCCATGGCAAGAAATGATGGTAGACGGAAAACTACCAATCCTGCTAGTAACCCACCCAGCGGAAGGAACTCGGGCTCTGCTGCCGAGCACGACGGCCTGGGGACCGGGGACTTACCTCGGTCCGGCATCAGACACTCAGGAACTCCCCTCAGCACCGACTTCCATTCTGGAAAACATGAAGAACCTAATAAAATAAGAAAACAATAACGACGACCCATTAGCAATGAAGCACCTGCTATTATGACAGCAAAGGTAACGTGGAATCTAACTTGATTCCACAAATGAAGTATTAAGCACTGTTTTATATATATGTATTTATATATCTATCTTACATATATATATCTTAAGACAATTTAAACCTTGGCCGGCGCCACGGCTCACTAGGCTAATCCTCTGCCTGCGGTGCCGGCACTCGGGATTCTAGTCCTGGTTGGGGCGCTGGATTCTGTCCCAGTTGCTCCTCTTCCAGTCCAGCTCTCTGCTGTGGCCTGGGAAGGCAGTGGAGGATGGCCCAAGTCCTTGGGACCTCCCGCATGGAGACCAGGAGGAAGCACCTGGCTGCCGGCTTGGGATCAGCGCAGCACGCCAGCCGTAGCAGCCATTTGGGGGGTGAAGGGTGAACCAATGGAAGGAAGACCTTTCTCTCTGTCTCTCTCTGACTAACTCTGTCAAAAAAAAAAAATATATATATATATATATATATATATATTTAAGCCTCTCAAGATTGACTCATGTCATTTTATCAATTTATCGATTCAGTTTGGTTTGACCTTGCATTGACCTCTAATGAGACGAATACCAGAAGCAAATGGAACCCGCAGACCCAACGTTGTCCAAGGAGCTGGTGTGCTTTCACTCTGAGCTTTGCTACCTGCTTCGTTTCAGAATCAAACACCTTCCTATAGCAATTACTTATTTTAAATTATTTATATTGAGGAGGACCCTGGAAACCCAACCAGCAAAATGCCCCTGGAGAAGAACTGTGTGCAAGGCAGCAGATGGGTTTTGTGGGGTCCGTGAGGACACGTCTGCACTATGTTATGGATGGAACCTCCCCAGGGAATTTAAACAGACTTGTGAGGAACCAGCCTGTTGCACAGGGCATGTTCACGATGAATCAGGAGAGACGGGCTAGGGGACACTGGGCACACAACCTAGCCTCCTGGGGCCCAAGCTTTCCACAGCAGGTCTCTGTGCCTGCACCAGGACTACGTCTACTCCCCGAGTACCACTCTTTGCCTTCAGCTTCACCAGCTCATCATGAACTCTGCCTGAACATTCTTTAAAAAAAAAAAAAAAGATTTATTTATTTATGTGAAAGGCAGGGTGACAGAGAGGCAGAGGCAGAGAGGAAGAGAGAGAGGTCCTTCATCTGCTGGTTCACTCCCCAAATGGCCACAAAAGCCTGAGCTGGGCTGACCCGGAGCCAGAAGCCAAGAGCTTCTTCTGGGTCTCCCGTGCGGGTGCAGGGGCCCAAAGACTTGGGCCATCTTCTACTGCTTTCCCAGGCTACAGCAGAGAGCTGGATAGGAAGTGGAGTAGCCGGGACTTGACCTGATTCCCATATGGGATGCCAGCACCGCAGGCCGTGGTTTTACCCTCTATGCCATGGCGCCGGCCCCTAGACATTCTTCCGCTGTCTCTCTTCCCCTCCCTTCCTGGCAGCACCCCACCTTTTGTGTTTATGCTTCGACAGCTACAGCTAATTTTCTCGGGAAATCTTGCCCAGTGCTAGCATGGCAGCCACTGGGTCCACTGTAGCCCTGTGCTGGATGAGACGCCCGACACGCGACAGTCAGACGAATACTTGTGCTTGTGAGATGAGTGACTGCGAAGCTAAATACCCCAAAGCCCCTCCCTAAATTCAGAATTCTATAACTACTCATAAAATGTTTAAAATAGATCATAGTTGGGTATAAATAATAACCTACATCCAGAAAGTTTATACACGGACCAACAAAATACAGTTCATAATTTATAGACATACCCTACTTTAATATCCAGCCATATAAAATACAAGTTATATAATAGTGAAAGATATTCACTTAAGAACTTAATATAGGTAAAAACGAGGGGTCTTCAAAAAGACCGTAGAAAATGCATATTACACACACACACACAAACTATGCATGGGTTCCAGTTTTTTTTGCACCAAAATAAACTTCCTTTTAATTTCATGATCTTTTTGAAGTGCCTTCATACCTGAGGTCTGCAATGCATACCCAAATAAATAATAAACAAATATTCTGAAAACAGATCGGGAAGGCTGATGGGTTTATAGCCACAGCATTTCCTGTCACTGTGGATCACATTCCTCCTTATCACACATACTGTGATTCACGCTGTCACTCTTCTCCCACGCTCAGATGCTCTAACTTCGGCCAGTGTGGGTTTCCTGCTGTCGATTTTGACAGCTCCATGTAAGTTTTTGAGCACTTCTTACTTTCTGGCTAATAATAACCTCTGGTTAGCATTCACACCCCTAGACTCAGGATCCGTAATTTCTACGAGGAGCCTTAGTGCCTCCACTTAGAAACTGGGGCTGGGCCATGGGTACCCACTGCCATGGGGGACAGGAAGGAAGAAGCTGCCCATGTCACCCTGTCCCAACTCCCAGCATCCCAGCACACATGGGGGAGGAGGGGGAATTCAGTCCAGCCCCAGATCCACCATGGTGAAACTGTGTGCCAGGCACAGCCCCACTGCCCTGCTGCCAAACCAGTACCCATGGATGAAGCCCCTGAAACAGCCTTAGCCAAGCAGCCAACACACTGCTTCCACTCTTATTTCCCCAGCATGGTGCACAGGAAGACGCCGCCCACTGGAGAGGAGGACAGGAACACCAGCACAGGAAAGAAACGTGGCAGTCCCATGCATGCACTTGACCCCGGGGCGTTTGTGGCTGGGAAACCCGGGGACCATCATGGGCCCTGAGCCCGGTCTGGGGAGCTGCGGGGTTTCCGCTCTGTTGAGCTGCTCTGCACAGAGCCCAGCCAAGCTGTGCAATCCTCTACCCTGGCTCTGGGTGCCGACGGCCCCCTTGAGGCCCTGCCCATCCAGACTCCTGTGAAGGGTCTGTTCCCAGAAGCTCCAGAGGACACAGCTCCACTCCCGCTTCCACCGCCCTGGAAGCAGATGGCTGCCCCTGCCTACACACCCTCAGCCCCAGGAAGCAACCAGACCGTCAGCCCTGAGGAGCCTGGCCCACAGAGGCCCAGGGAAGCAGCTCAGTGGTCCCACTTACCCACCCACAATCCCCCCAGAAAGTAGCCAGCCACTGCACAGTCCTCACACACCAACAGGCACCTCACCCAGCTCCCAACACACTCCACTGCATCCACTTGGGTCCATGGAAGGTCACACACCCACAGCAGTGAGTGTGCCCCACCTAAGGGTGGGGCATCCCACCGGGCAGTGCAACCCACAACCCCCAAGTCTCTGGAATGCCTGAGCATGAAAAGAGGTAACGTGTGTCAAGCCTTTAGCACAAAGCCTGGCAAATCTGCCTCTCGGCCTACGGTGAGGTTTTCATGGGATAATGCTGAGTGCCAAAACCTCGCTCATGGTCAGCAAATGGCGGCTATTCTTTCTCTGCAGGTTATTTGGGCAAGTTCTGCTTCCTGTCTCCCTGGGATCCACAATGCCCGAGTCTGGGCCCGCCCGTGACAGCAGGGAGCAGTCAGCGTGGCCAGAGGGAAGAAGCTGCCGCCTCCGTGCCATGAAGCTGGGCACAAGGCTGAGGTCACAGCAGAGAACCCGCTGACAGCCTCAGAGCGAGCAGTTGATGGAGTGCAGAAACGCAGGCATTATAAAAAGCGGCTGGAGCCGCACACCACGATCAGCGCGTGACCTCCAGAAACGGCCAGTCAGGCCGCAAGCCACTGAAGGAAGAGGGTACGCCAGGGGCGCTCTGAACTCTACTTCAAGGAGCAAGACAGCGTAGTGAGCAATAGATCCAGGGAAGATTCCCATCTCAGCACTGTCCAAATGGGACTTCACAGACAGCGCCTTCGAAATTCACATGTGGAGCTGCTGTTTCCCAACAAACCTGGCCCAGCTCCAGGTGTTGCAGGCTTTTGGGGAGCAAACTAGTGGATGGGATCCCTCTCTCTTTCTCTCTCCAGTGAAATAAAAATTGAAAATCCCAAAATATAATTAATTAAAACAGCAATTTAAAAAGCTGACATTTTGTACTGAAAAGGCAAACCTGCTATGAAAAACACCTGCGGACCCTCGGGGAGCCTGAGGTGCAGGCTCCTACAGACACCAGCTGCCAGTGCTTTCAATCCTGAAAGCAAAGTGGACACGACTGAAGGACAAGCAGATACATCAGGAGCTGCTGCTAGAGGTCTCCACAGTTCTCCTTCAGTTACTGACGGAGTAAAACACAAAAACGAGTAAAGATGAAGACTTTTTAAAACTATACAAATAAAGAATTTCATAGAAAGAAATTTCAGGAACCTATGATCCAAACAATAGCGTTGATCATTTGTAAACAATAACAGCAAGGTAATTCTCCACTGCATTTGGAACCTACGCCAGGTCAGAAAACATGTCTCAACAAATTTAAAAAGATTGAAATTTTATAGTGTGTTCCCTCACATGACAGAATTTTACTGGAAATTAATTTCTCAAATCCTGAATTATAGTAAGATTGCAGAATACAAGGTTAAGATACAAAAATCAGTTGCTTTCCTATATGTCAACAATGAGTCCCTGGAACCTAACATTTATAAAAAAACACAATACCATTTATGATAGTGCCCAAAAATAAAACAACTGTATGTCTAAGAAAATATGTATGTGGTCCCTATGGAGAAACCTAGAGAACTCTGGAGAAAGCAATGAAGTATCTAAATTACTGGCTCAAGTGTGAGTTCTTCCCGACCTCTCCCACAGACTCAGTGTAACCCACAGCACAATGTCAGCAAGCTATTGGAGGAAATCAAGAACAGATGCTGAAGTTTCCACAGAAAGGCCAAGGACCCAGAACAGCCAACAGAGCACTGCGGAAGGAGAAGGCCGGAGGAATCGCATACCTGACCTCAGGACTGCTGCAAAGCCATGGTCATCAGACAGCACCACACGACCAATGAGCAGTCACAGACGTCAGTGTGTGGAGCACAAGGACGGGACACGGATGCACACAAGCAGACAGCAGCAAAGCCAAGTCCACGGACAGAG